AGGTCTTTAGGCTTCAGGGTTGAGGGTTTATAAGGGCTACCTATAAGGATGTAGTATAGGGGCTTGGGTTTAGGGTTCAGGGTTTAGGGTTGGGGGCTAAAGTTTAGGGTGTAAGGTGTAGGATTTGGGGCTTAAGGCTACAAGTGTAGAGTTTAGGGCATCAGAGACTGTTTTTTGGTTCGTACCCGAGCCGTTTTGCTGACTTGAGCACTTCAGCACCTGACTGAGCAAGAGAGTCGGGACGAAGATCCCCCCTAATGAGCACTTCACCAACTGACTGAGCAAGAGAGTGGGTCAGTCCAATTCTGCACACAGGGGCATCCAGAACGAAGATCTCCCCTAAACGATGCCTGCTGTGTGAGGCGTCCTACTGGGGCATACATTCGTTCTTAATTGTCTGCCTCCTAGAACATCGTTAAAGCTGAAAGCCCAAAACTCCGAATGGGGTTAACCCTGAAATACCTCAACAGACAGAGGTTCTTCGTGTACAAGTCCGACCCCTCATTCATGAGCATGCACGCCGCATGTCCTGTGCTGCTTGGCTGCATTGGATATGTAGGGAACTGGGTTTTCGGGTATGTCGAACGAGAGTTATTTCGCCACGAGACGGTTGCAGGAAGAGTGTTAGTCATCTTTGAATCTGCACACCTGAACAAGGTGACGAAGGTGTGTGGTTTGTGTGTTGTGTGAACTCGGTCCTTTGCCAATGTTTGGGGGTCGACTTGTAGGTAGAACTGGGGTGTCGTCAAGTCATGTGAGATAGAAAGGTGGCCACATGCTAAATGAGTTGTTGATCGCACTGCCCAAAGTCAATATCCCTAACCAGGACCCCTATATCTTGCAGCGCTCGGGCTCACGCAAACTGACGAGCGGGGGAGATTTGCAAAACGTCGTCAAGCAGTTAGAAGTTCGGGTAGATCTTCCTTACATGAAGATATAGTACATAGATGCAGCTCCATGTCTCACCGATTTGCAGAGGTATGTCGCAGCAAGGCCCTGATTTATTTGGACACTTTAGTGCATGGAAAGGGTCAGGTTTTCCGTATGCGAACCCCTACCAGGGACTACGGTTTGTTCACACACACGCATGTGTATGTAATTATGTGTATATCTGTATATACAGAAACATGCATGCACACATATACTAATACCGGAACCCGTGGATAACAACATCATGAAATGTTCAAGCCTCTACTAACGGTCTACGTGTCCCATGATTGAATGAGTCTTCCTCGATTTATTCTACGGATCCTCAGTTAGTATGGACGCCTCGAGACTCTGTCCGAAACTCATATCGAAGTCTCAGCGCTATCTGCAACTTACCTGGTGTATTCAGAGCTCCTTAGGAAAACTGTGACATCTCCGAACCCATTCTCCTGAACCCTATCAAATCGAAACCTTACACGTATGCCCCGACGACAATAATCCCCACATGATCAGTACCCGCGCAGTTAAGCCTTATAGACCCTCGTGGCCATGCCCGTATCAGGCTTCGCGGAGTGAAGAGTACGGCCACGCAGTGGTACAGGGAGGCTGCCCGAGTGGTCGATGCTTGTCCGGTTTGTAACCTTTCACTGTTAGGCTTTATGTTTGCATCATCCAGAAGAAGGCACTTCAGAGCCCTAAACTCCAAACCTTCATCATCCGCGAGAAGGAGACTTCAGACCTTAGGTGGTAAACGAAAAAGCTTCTGCTACTTCTGAGGGGGTTCACTCGCTTGTTTTGCAGGCTTTGCACGTCGTAGCCCGTCCGAACTGAATGTGGGCACTTTCGACTTCACTTATACCGTATGTAGATATGTGTATATAGAGTATACGCATTTATGTACATATATACCTACATCGATAGGTATGTATACATATATGCATATATACATATACATACACATGCACATACATATGCATATATATATATATATATATATATATATATATATATGATGATAAGAGTTCTCTCGCTATAATATATATATATATATATGTATATATATATGTATATATATATGTATATATATATATATATATATATGTATATATATATATATATATATATATATATATATATGCATGTACATGTATATGCGTGTTTTAGGGCATGGCGTTTAATGCCCTTTAGGGATTAGGCTAGAAAGGTTCAGGGTCCAGGTATAGATGGTGAGGACCTCGACCTCCTATTGCAGAACATATGGGAACCATAATTAGCGTTTAGGGTTTGCCAACAGGAACCCAAAGGGTCCGCCTAATCACCTGTATGGTAGAACGTAGGGTTTCTATCTTAGGAATTACGATCATCATTTGGGGGAAGGATCCCGCATAACAGTACCAAGGATCCTCTCTGGGGAAGTCTAAGTCATGGTGGTAGGTACTTGTATGATTCATGACCAACCTGTAGAATCCCTACAAACACGAAGCGTTACATCCCAGAAGCGGCTTTCGGTTTGGGCTGTGCTCACGCAGGGAGTGCGAAAAGACTGGACCTGGGAAGATGTGAACGACCTGGGATACCGCAGCCGGGCCGCAATTTTGTGCAACTCCCTGTACTATGCAACCTTCAAGCTCTTGGGGTTTATATAACCCTACCATGATTGTGTAGGTTAACCTTTTTGGGGCCAGGGTACTCAGCCCCTTAGAGGAACCAAGGGCTCAGAGGGTTGCTTGGGAAACGCTCTCTGAGACATTCCGGCTCGAGGTGTGTCGGACCTAGGGTCAGAGCTGTTTGAATGAAGCGTCCGGCGGGGCTTGGTCCGTCGAGTCATAACGGGGAGGTCCCTGCTCTGGACACGTATAACTGCCTCCCGGAAACTGAGTTCTTGTAATAAGGAACTTGATTTAGGTTACCGTTATCAGGAAAGCATGGTATTTGTTGTACATCCCCCTGATAAGAACCCAGGAAAATTTCCAGCACTTTAAAGCCCAAGAGACCGCTCATCAATGGCGAAAATCCGTATACGATTAGTGGAAGATGCTTACAAACATGAGAAAGCCTTATATGACCTTTCTAAAGGCTCCCTACCATGAATTCAAAATATGGGGGTTTCCGACAATTAGGGGTACCTTATTTTGGGGTCCTTTTAATGAGGATCCTACTACTATTTGGGGTACTATATTAGGGTCGCCTATTTCTGGAAACTCCCATATAGGTCCTTAAAAACCGCAGGTTGTTAGGGATTAAGGTAAACACTCGCCTCGAGGTCGCGCAGACGCCAACGAGCTTCCTGTTTCGCAAGCCCGACAATTGAAGTTTGAAGTTCTCGGGTGTGTGGGCGGGGGGGTGGGAGCTAGATGCAAGGGTTTCTGTACGGTATACCATAAGGGTTGCTATTAGAGTTACGACATGGGCATTTGGACGGTTGTAGGCTTTGGGATACTAGCAGACAGTTGCTTCGCGGGGCAGGTTAGTTCCAGAAGATACCTTCCGTTCCGAAGGCCTAGTAGCGAGACGCTTTTTGAGTTAGGGGTTTCGGTTCGAATGCATAGAAAGTAAACCCTATAGACTCAGACTTTAAACACCACAGTTACGGATCCATATCTACCGAAGTTTGGGAATCCTGTTTTGCGGATCCGCATCTTTGGCGCACTTTTGATCCCAGCACGTCCGAAAACATATTTTGAGTGAATGGCCCAGGCCTGCAATGGCTTGTCCACCCTCCTCCCCCGGACAGCCCAGACTTGCGGAAGTTTGCAATGTCTTGGGACTTTAGGGTGTTTTGATTGGGGTTATCCCTAGACCCTATACACAACCCATAAGACCCCAACCCTACAAGCATGAACCCCACAAACCTCGAAGCGTGTAGGGCCTCTTTCGACCTCCTCCCTGCTTGTACTTGCCGCTCCCAGCTGAGGCTTTGAGCTCGCAGGCGTCAGCCGCCCTGAGTGAAAGACAAATCCGTGGGCTCTGGGTTTAAAGATTTGCAGGGCCGTCCTTTCCCAAGGCCCAACAAGTTCCAGGCTGAATGGTTACTTAAGCCCCAAAGGGTCCAAAACACACATCTATGTATCTACATACTATAAATATGTGTGTATTTTTCTATACTTGTATACTTCCGAACTGCAGCCGAAAAACCCTAAACTCTTCGTTTGTTGCAGTCTTTGGTGCGAGCTCATACAGCTTCTCTGGGGTCCGAACGGCTGATATGGGCGATTTGGGAAGTTCGGGATTCCTTGCTTGGGGTCCTTATACTACTATAGCCCTTAAACCTTAAACTCCTAAACCCTAACCCCAAGCCCTGAACCTATTGGGGCCTCCTGCTCTCTGATACCCTAAACCCTAAGCCCCTAAACCTAAACCTCTGCGGGCCTCTGGACATGATCTGCGAGAGTAGGAGTCGAGTCAGTAAGAAGTTGGTGCGAAGAGGAGCCCTGGGAGAAGAATCGGGTGTAGGGTTTTAGGTTTTAGGGTTTGTATCGGGTTTAGGGTTCTCAAAATAGCACAAAACCCTATGTGACATGGTCTTTGGGCGCATGGCTTGGGGCTTGGAGTTCAGACTTGCGGTAGTATCCCAGCTCTTAGTTCAGAGATCTAGGAATTCAGGGTTCATAGTTTAGAGTTTAGGGTGGAACTCCTGGGCTTTAGGTTTGGGTGTTGATGTTTATAGCAGCAAAACTGCTCGAAATCCTTATGCCTTACGCCCGATGGCGACTGCTGAACCTCATGCCTCCAAACTGCGTAGTTATGTACCGTTTCCGAAGCTAGGATTCTGGGCGTACGTTGAGGATCTGGGGTCTCGACTCCGGCAAGCACCAATAACACACTAGCTCTGACAACTTGTTCGTCAAGACACTCCAAACTGCAGAGCCGTAGGATAGAAACGATACTCGTCCAGCTATCAAGCTCCTTTGGTTCGGTGTATCCTAAACAGGAAATGCCTTTCAAAAGCCTCATGAAAAGAACTCAAAGCTCTAAATTCATGAACCTTAAACTAAGCCTTATGAAAAGCCCTTAAATAAATCCCCAAATCCGTAAACTCCAAACTCAGCCCGACGCCCTCATACAATGGCGCCATGGCGGACCCACTGCCTTGGACACCACGGCCAGGGCTCTGTGCTACAAACTTTCTTGGAGGTGGCTTTGCTTTCTGAGGGTTTAGGGTTTAGGGTGCTTTCACTAGGACATAAAGCTCCTGTTGAGCGGGATTTCTTGGACGCGTTTGGAGCATGGCTGGTGCCGGTGGGTGAGAGAAGACATGCAATCATCAGGAACTGTGAGTGGCGGCAGCTGATTTCCCCTTGAGACTATACTATGATGGGTTGCAGCAGGGTTGGAATTCACTCTACAACATACCAGAATATGACATACGAGATAGTACGATAATTTACTGTAGGGACCCCAAAAGCACATAAGCATAAGCCTTTTAGGGTGATATCCCTACCTTTTCGGGCTTCCTTTTCAGGGGTTTATATGGGATATCCTTATCCTTACTTTTGCTTATGTGTTTTTTTGGGGGGGCGGCTTAGAAATGTATAGTATGATAGAATGACACTATGTTTTGTTATGCTATAGAATTGGACCGTAAGCCAGAGCCCAATTTGAACTGTAGCTGGCGTGACGCCAGGAGTAGTCGGGCGGCGGCAGGGAAGGGCTGGATGGGGCAACCGAAAAGAGTGGGGAAGTAAGCTTTCGCAAACTTAGGTTATAGGGTTCAGGGATTTTCGAGATCATCAAAGGTGATTAGGGTTTAGAGATTACGGCTTGAGTTTTGGGACACTTGGGCTCGCTGTGCAGTGTCATAGCGGTCCTAGTGGTGCTATCGGATGATACAGATTGCGGCCTATCCGGCCTTGTCGACATCTGCAAGATCAGCACCCAAACCCCGATTCTTGCGGCTAGCGGCGAGATCGCAAGCCTCTCTTTAAACCCTAACCGAACCCTTAACCCTCAAACCCTACAGATCCCTAAACTACTGCTGGATGCCCATCCACCGAACCACCCCTATGACACACCCCTGAAACCGAGAACCCAGCTCCCAAAGCCCTAAGCCTGAAGCTCTCAACCCTACGCCCTCATCCCAAAGCCCTATTGCCCTAAAGCCTACATCTGCCTTGAAAACGACGTCCGAAACAGCTTATGCCTTCAATACCACTACATTACGGTTCGGGTTTAGGAACTCTATGCCCCCGACCCTACACCCCAAGTCCAGGGTTTAGCATGCAATTAGGAGCCCAAAGCCCTAAACCTAAGTTTAGGGCTTTGGGTTCAGGAACCACGAGCCGAAAACTTGATGGCAGGTCTGCCAGGCAACGGTGCCGTTCTCCGAGTGCCGCGCCCCTGGCGACCGGCTGCCAGAGATGAGGCCTTACTTGGGTAGTTGTCAAAATTAGGGTCCCTGCTTGGGTACCCTAAATATTAGGTGCCGTATTATATTAAGGTCCCATTTTGGGACCCTGATTTTGACAACCACCCACTTATAACCCTATACTTACTGAGTCCCCTGATCCTCTAGGTATGTTCTCGTCTACCAAGTATCATACGTTGCATCAGAGTTTAGCTTGCGGTAACTTCTCGTAGTAGGTGAAAGCATGTTGCAGTGCACCGTAGTCTGTTATGGTGATTTTCGTGTATTTGTCAAGGGGCGCCAGCGACTCCCACAACCCCTCAGTACGGAATTGATTCCCTAGGGCCCTAGGGTTTAATTTCAGGATACTTGCTTACTTTACGCGGGCCTGTGGGGTTAAGAAGCCCCTGCAGACCTTGTGAGTGCTAGAAAACCTAAAGCGTCCCTGGGACACAGAATGTGCAACAACAAAAGTCCTCATCACGACATAAAGTATGACTCCACGAACTTCTAACTCTCTCTCTCTCTCTCTATCTCCCTCCCTCTCTCTCTCTCTCTCTCTGTCTCTCTCTCTCTCTCTCTCTCTCTCTCTCTCTCTCTCTCTTTTCCTCTCGAACATAAAGCTCTAAGCAGCAAACTCTCGGCCTCCCACTTGCAGGCAGCGGGGCCCTTCTTCAGCACTCGCAGTGCCATCCTCGCTGCAGTTTCCTGGCCATCAGCGAGGCGGATGGGGGTTTCTGGACAGAACACTGTACTATAGTGGCCTTATTAGAATAATTACCTACACTATTTTGTGGGTTCCTTCGGATAATTACAGTATAATGGGCCCACCAAAGCCCTATTCTAATTATTACGACGCCTGTTAACAGAATTGGGGTGTGATACTACAGGAGTCCGGGTTCTAGCATTCTTTGGCCACTTGGAGCATGTTCCGCCCTCTAAACCCTAAACCCTAAAACCCCAAACTTGGGCTGCACTGCGGGACCATACATCCGGCTACCAGCATGCCCGAGCTGAGGGCATCTCGAAAATCCTTTGGATCTGTATCCCCAAACCCCAAACCTTGAACTATCCTAAGCCCCATAATATAGGGGCCGAAATAATTGCAATACTGTCCGGGGGGTTATTATAATAATAAGTATAGTATACTCGGCCCCAAAACCCTATTCAAAATCTAAGTATTAAGGCCCCGATATTAAGCCCTAAACCATGGCCCGCATCTACAAACCGTCAAGAGATGTTATCGCCCTCCTCGGGATCCAGGTCCTCCTCTCTTCACGTTTATAGCTGTCGTCCGTGGTTCTAGCTTGACAGAATAGTGACAAGAGGATCAACAAAGGGTTGCGTTGCGGTCTACTCTACTACAGGTCTAGAGAGGGAAAAAAGGGCGATGTTATTGGTAAGTATGCCGACCTGCACATTGAAACTTCCTACAATCCTACAAGGTTCATGTGCCTCTGCTGACTCCGCATTCGGTAGACCACGCGAAAGGGCCTTAAATGATGACGTGTGCTGGGAGGTCGCGAAAGAAAGACACACCATTTTACAATCCTATCCTGGATCTCTTCAACAGCTGTTTACAGCAGTCATGCTAGTTGCAAATCAACAGGTCATTACGGAGACCCTTTTGTCAAGGCCTTTACATGCCCTCAAAGTGTTGAACCCAAGCCTCCATACGCTATGTACATCTTCAGTAAGTATCGCAACGAAACACTCAAGCACACGCTCGGCCTCAAGACCTGATTCTAAAGGAACCTAGATCCTAATTAAGTGCGAAAACCCCAAACCACCTAAACGCCTAGATTCCATTATCATAACCCTACCTCTACTGCGACCAGCATAAACTTCAAAGCCTCAGTCCCCTGATATCCCCTCAAACCGTAGAACCCAATAGTAACCTTCAGCTGAACAAACAGCTCCTGCCAAAACTCTTATGCCACTCCGCAAACCCTTCTAAACCCAACCCTAACCCACAACCCGAAGCACCCAAATGGTTGAAGATCTTTACTTAACCTCTAGACTAAAAGCCCCTTTTTAACACACGAGCGGTCCACATTCTTTCGAACAGAAAGTTTTCGGAACCCTAAACCCTGAACCGTGGGGAGGCGACTTTGCAGACGCTGCCTCGTCCTCCGAAAACAGCAGCAGGGCAAAGTGTCCTTCAAGGACCTCCTCAGGCAGGGTTTAGGGTTTAGGGTCTGAGGGTTCCTTTTAAAGGGATCTATAAGGGTCTAAGGGTTCCTTTAAAGGGATGTATAAGGGTAGTTGTCCAAATTAGGGTCCCTTTTTGAGTATCCTAAATATTAGGTGCCGTACTATATTAGGGACCCAAAAAGGGACCATAGTTTTGACAACCACCCACCTGTGTTTTGAGCACTTTCGTGTGTTTGGGTTCATATGAGTGTTTGTCAAAATTAGGGTCCCTTTTTGGGTCCCTATTATAGTACGGCACCGAATATTTAGAGTACCCAAAAAGCGACCAGAATTTTGACAACTAGCAATCTAGGATACGTGTGAAGAGCGATATATCGCTACACAGCCCCTCCCACATAGCCCTTGTCTAGAAACACCGCAAAGTCCAACCCTTGCCTTGTCGAAATTAGTCCCCTCCCCAGCTTATCGAACGTCTCTCAAAGCCCTTGGGGCATCCCCTGCTCGGAGGTCTCATAGGAGGCCAAAAGGGGTTTTAGCCTTTGGGGGTTTAGTAAGGATTAGGGTTCCCAGAATAGGGTTCATTTCAAGGAATCCCTCCCCCAAGCATCTTAAACCTAAACCCTAAACCCTAACCCCAAGAATCTTAAACCCCCTTTTTGCAAGGTCGTCTGAGGCACCCGTGGAGAAGGCATCCTGCGCCACTTGGTTGACTTCAAGATGGTAAGCCTGTAGATAGGGTGCCTATGCGGGATACCATAGAAGCTGCCCCCACCCTGTAATAGTAGTATAATAGGAATATAATAGGGCCCTGATATAATCCTATATAATCCTTATGGTCACTATTACAGGGTGGGGGCCCCTTCTAAGGGATACCATAAAAGGATTCCAGGCCTTAGGGCGCGCATCCAGGGCTTGCAGGGTTTGAGACGTTTTGGGTTTTTGCTGGGCTTGGGGGGTTCTAGCTCATGAGGGTCGCAAGGCCTTGGGGCTTTAGCGTTGCAGAGTTTAGGGTTTTCGGGCTTTCGAGCTTCAGGGTTTTAATTTTTCAGTTTTTAGGGTTTAGGGTTTAGGGTTTAGGGGTGAGTTTTTAGGTTCGAGGGTGGGTAGGGTCCTATGGTTCCAGAAGGAGCCTGGGCATCGAGGTTTCGATTGTTTGTCGATGTCGGGCTTACATAAACGTCTGAGCACTTCTCAGTATAGTATTCCTGTAAGGTCCCCATACATTCAGCCCATCCTCAGAGCAATCATCGAATCAATGAGGCCGATATATATATATATATATATATATATACATATATTGCAACCCCCCCCACTTGTGTCCACTGTCGCTATCGGGGCCTTTATTCCCTGTTAGTTACAGTGAAGGGAGAAGGACCTGTACGTCGGTCTTGTACTTCACGGGTTGAGGATGAGTGCTTGGCATTTGGCACATACTGTCAAGGACAGAGTTGCTCAGTACACTTTGTGTAGGTGCATGAGGCTCTATAAACCTGGAATTCCTCTCTCTGCTAAAGACTACCGCATTGTGAACAGCGTGGTGTTCCCCTGCACAAACGGTTGATTCATGTACCCCGAAATCCGACATACTCAAAGCCTATATTTTACCTTGCTTGGGTTATCTTATATTGAGCTTTTGGCCTTGTAAGGCCTTGCCGTGCCCATCCCCTTTGCTTCTCGGGAATCCATGGCGGAACTCGACAGGGTCGTTTCTGTGTGTGTGTGTGTGTGTCGATCCTGCAGCTGAAGACCGTCCACCCTCAGCTAGGGCGGGTCAAAACCTCGCCCGATATCACAGGACCCTGGCTTACTACAGGCACCAGTGGAGCCTCTTTTCAGTCGGGCTGGGTGTGTGAGTGACACTCTAAACCCATAGACCCCCGAACCACTAAAACCCAGGTCCCGAAACCTGAAAGCCCGATCGAATCAGAATCCCAAGTCCTTCACATTGAGCGCTTAGCCCCGGGCTTCAAGCTGGATTTCAATATCAACAAACAAAAGCAATGGATTTGAGAAGCAGGCCTTAGAAAACATGGCCAAGCCGTAAAAGACGATCGAAAGAACCTCAAGCCCGGAACCCCAGGCCGGAGGCCCAAAAACCAAAGCCGAAACTAGGGGCCTAACTAAATGCCAATGTTATTTCTTTGGGGGGCTTACTATGATTATAGTATAAGGGCCCCCAAATCCTATTCAAGTTATGGAGACCCCTATATCAACAGTTCTTGAACCCAGGCAGAGTGGGGTTGCCGATGCAGCTTCCCGGCCTCAAAGATTGTCGCCAGTTGTATATTAGGTACTACAGGGGCCTATATAATTACCTATACTATTTTGGGGTTTCTTTAAAAGAAATATAGTATAATGGGCTCCAAAACCCTATTCAAATTATTCAGGCTCTTAAAGTATTTAGGGGGTGTTGGGAGCAGGCAACTTCCGCAGTCGAGGTTGGTGGGCATGGCTTAGGGTTTAGGGTTTATAGGGCTTGGGGTTGAGGGTTTAGGGCAGGTTTTCGGTTTGGGGGTTTAGTCCGCGGCAACTACTACAGTAAAAGCCTAGGGTGAAATACATTTGCCAACACCCTCAAGTCTCGAAGTGCTATTGTGACCCATCTTTAGGGCTTCAGGTGCCGGCATGGGACGTTTCGGCCGCAATAAGAAGCCACATGAACAGTGCGACGTACATACTTAGTAATTACTTGGCACAGATCTCCTTAATCGACCGGTGAATTGGAAGGGCTTTTGTTGGGTGTGGTTGCTAAGCGAGTGTTGTCCCTAAATGCAGAACGCCGAGCGCTTACGGCAGCCTGGTCCCTCACGTCTGAAACAGTTGTTCCTTCTTCCCCTACCCAAAACACAAGACCCCCAGACCCTGCCAATCCCGAACACTGAACCCGAAGCCCAGCTACACCAAGCTTCCTAAACTTGAGGGTGAGGCAGCAACATATGCAAGCATCTCCTGACGCCACTTCCTTCAGCGTTGTGATATAGTTTTAGGGTTTAAGGTTTAGGGCTTTGGGGTTAAAGGTTTTAAGGTTTACGCAGAGTTTCAAGAGCCAAACTTTGTCCTGTTCCAGAACCCGAAGGCCTAATCTCTGCACTTTCTGGTCCCCGAACACCAAGCTCCCAAGCCGTGTAAGCCTCAAACCTCAAAGCCGCAATCGCCCTTTAAGTCCGCAACTTTTTGCGATTACCTATTCAGGGCTTCGGCTCGCGTATGTCGGAAATCCTTAATCCTTGCTTACCATCACGACTCCAACTCAACCAGATCTTCGGTGCGCATGAAAAATGAGCTTCCGGCTAGCCGCTTCGTGTCACGTGGAACGCCGATTCGTGGAGGCCGATCTGCGAAGAGAAAACGTGAGGCTTTCGAAAGACATCAGATCCTTGTTTTCCCGAAAGTTATGGTGACCCGATCGCTGTTCCTGTGATCCACGTGACCAACAAAGGCCTTTTTTCTGTCTGCCGACGTGGGAACTGAGATTGGTCTCGAGGAATCTGGTGTTGGGAGCTGCAGGACAGATTATAGCGAAGCGATCTTCTAGAGTTGCTTCAGCTGAGTCTCCGCAAGAGTATCTGCTGCCGGTGCCGAAGGTAAGTTCGGTAGCATGCAGGGCCACTGTCTCCTAAAGGGTCTCAGGTACTGCTATGGGGGATACTTCCCCGAATCATAATCACATAAAGGTAATGCCTCATATAGAAACTTGACATTCTACCATATAGGTACGTTGGCAAGTTTGGGGAAGGCCACTATCTGCCTCCAAGGCCGAAGCTTATGGAATCTGGTCCCCGGAAGGTCAGGACCTCCTATTCCACCTCCAGAGCGCTAAACCTTACAGCCTACGCCCTCAACGCTAAAGCCCTACGGCCTAGGTTCAACCATGAAAACTCATTTTGAAGGTGCTAGGGTTTGAAGAGCAAAGCCTTAATCCCTGAACCCTAAACCTGTCCATCCGAAACTGTAAACCCTGAACCATCCGAAACCCTAAACCCTGACCCCAAAGCCCTAAACCCTAAACCCCAATCCCAGGTTTGGAGGGGAAGCTTTGTCCTTTCACTTGGCGGGAGCGCCTGCCGCAGAGTTTCTGGTTCTTCTGGGTTCTTCTTGCTGAGGAATCATGAACCAATAGTTTAGGGTTTAGGTACCATGCCCTATGTGAGTTCTCGTTGAGGAATTTAATTGTTTAGGGTGTTTGGGTTTAGGCACCATACCCTACGTCGTAAGGTTCCACGTGCTTATACAGTATATGCTCAGGCCGTAAAAGGGATCATATACAAGTCTTTGAGTATGCACTATATTGGTACATGCAGCCTTCGTGATAATAGGAAACCGTATTATTTGCTCTTGATCCCCATTATGGAAACAAAAATTAGGAAGCCGGACTTTTGGGTCAGGGGGGTGAGGGTTGATGTGTCAGGAGTTTGTGGCTGTGGTTACGGCCGAGGGTTTAGGTCCTATGGGGTAGGGCCTAGGGTTTGGGGTTTTCAGGGTTTAGGGTTCAGGGTTACGGGCTGAGGATTCTTACAGGGCCTACAGGTTTAGTGTCATATACGGGCTTAGGGTTCCGGCTTACGGTGGCAAACGGATTCAGCATGTCATGGCTTTTGACATTACACTTAAGTACTAGCATCTTCTGAACAAGAAGCGCACTTCATCGTTGGTGTCAGTATTATTCCTGCAAAATAATTATTACCATTATTCATGTGTCTTCATTTTTTGATTGTTCCATGTTCAATGTGTGTTTTGGTTCTATTTATACTGGATTAATGGTTTTTCGCGGTATGTAGTATTACTGATATCGTTTGTGTATTGTTATTTGTGTTGGTGTTTTTCTTGTTGTTTCTCGTATTGTTGTTATTATTGTTGCAATTTTTGCTACTATGAAGATCATTACTATTACTATGGTAATTTATGGTTACTTATTGTTATCTTGATTACTATGTATATCATTATTGTTCTTTTCACTTTTGTCATTGCTAATATCAACAATAACGTTATTACTATTGTTATTCTTATTCGCCATGTCACTATTACTAAGATTGTTTAGTACTAGGTTGCTTCTTAAAGTGTTGTTGCCAGTATTGTCCTCATTGTTGTTTATATCTTTACTACTTTGTTATCAACAATATTACCAAGAAGAAGAGCAATAATCAGGTCAATGATGATGGTAATGCTAACCATGATAGCAAAAGAATCACGAAACCATGATTAAGCACACCAACTGTAACATTAATGGTATTCGTATCATTTTATTCCTATCAGCGGTTGTATAAAATATAGCTCTTGGTACTTCTTGCTTGTAGTGTTATTATCACCACAGTTGCTTGCATTGCTATCTGTATTGCGGTCATGGTTACAAACCCTGAAACCCCAAGCTCCTAGAGCCTTAAGCCTTAACCCCTAAGACCCTAAACCCTTCAACCCTAAACCCAAAGTAAAACCTAAACCCTGAACCCCTAAACCCTCAACCCCCCGACCCCCAAACCCCTATACCCCTAAGCCCTTAGGCTTAAAGGCCTTTGTCTGGCAGACTGGAGTGCTGGGTAAAAGAGGGGCTCAAAAAAGAAAACAAAAAACCCTCTTCAGGACTACCGGCGCCGGCATCCCGCCGTGGGGGCGATCAGCCGCTGGTATGAGCGCGACGGAGAAGAACTGCCTGAGGCTCCTGGGGCTTTTTTGTTTAGGGGTTTAGGGGGTGAGGAGTTGAGGGGTTTAGGTTTATGGGGGTTTAGGGCTTAGGGTTGTCCTAGAGCTTTAGGGGTTTAGGTTTAGTTAGGGTTTAAGGGTTTAGGGCTTAGGAAGGGCTCCTGGGCCTCTCTCTTGTGTTGGGCGTAGGGTTGTTTTAGGGTTTAGGGGTTTAGGCTTCTCTTTTGTTTTAGGGGCCTTAGCGCTCGGTAGGGGTTTAGGGTATAATTTAAGGGTTCAGGGTTCTAGGGGTTCAGGGGCGTAAGGGTTGGGGGTTAAGGGGGCTCAGGTTTAGGGTTGAGGGTTGTTAGGGGTTTAGGATTTTGGTTCTTCGTTTTGTTGTTCTTAGGGGTTTAAGGTGTAGGTTCACGGTTTTAGGGCTGCTAGGGGTTTATGGGTTTAGGGTTTGTGGGGGGTGAAAGTTCAGGGGTTCAGGGGTTTAGGGGACAGGGGTTAGGGTCAAGAGTTTCAGGTCTACAGCTCACAGGGTTTAGTGTTTACTGGTTTTGAGGTATTTGGGTTTTGTTGTTCGGGGTTTCAGGTGTTGGAGCTTACGGTTTAGTTGAGGGTTTAAGCTGTCAGTTTTGATTTTAGCGTTCAGTGCACAAGGTATCTGGGCTTAAGGTTTTTTTGCGGCTGAAGGATTCGGGTTTACGGATTATTGCTGGTGTTACAGCTGCGACAGCAATGCGAAGAAGTGTGCCACAACTCTTTGTTGTTTGTTTCAAAGGGTAAAAGGAGGGACCCCTAATCAGGACCCCTAGGTATATACCCAAAATATCGCCATTATATACCCATTATATAGCCCATTATAGGGTAGGGGTCCCCATTAAGGGTCCCACCTTTTCCCCAATGATTGTTGGTTCCATGGTTTCGCTTCCATGCTTTTGTCGACTTGTCGTCGCACCCACCTTTTGTGCGTTCCCGCACGCCCAAACCGGACAGCACCATGAACCCTGAACTGAAAGCCGCCGCAAGGACGAGCCCTAAATATTCAACCTTTCACAACCCTGCAGAAACCCTTGAAAACTAAATCCTAAACCCTAAACCTTAAACCCTGAACCCGAAACCGAAACCCTAAACCTGAAACCCTGAACCCGAAACCCAAACCCGAAACCCCTAAAGAACCCGAATTCAAACGCCCAAAGCTCAAAGACCCCCACCCCAAGCCTGACCCAAACCCCTAAAGCCTAAACCTGGAAAGGGTTAGGATTTAGGGTAGGGCAGATTTGAAGGGCTTGCTCCGGAAGAAACCCCTCATGCAATCAATAGCGACTCTGCGCTGAAATGGGATCAAGGGACCATAGAACGATGGCTAGACATGGAATTGCACACGAAGGAAGAATCGAAGACTTTCTCGCAAGTGGCGGCGCAACTGAACTCCGAAGACATCTACAGCAGCTGAGATTGGCGGTGCCATCAGTGCAAAGGTCGAGGGACATGTGGAAGCTGCCCAAGAGCCGAAGATCTGGCGCTGCAAAGCAAACCACGACCACTGCTCAGCCATTGGCGCAAATGCATGCTTAAACAAAAACTAAAACGCCCAAGCTCGAAAAATCGCAAGACCCCAAACCCTAAGCCCAACCCCCTGAACCCTGAATTCTACAGCCCAACACCCGACACCCCAAACCACACGACGCCGAGCTCTTTAGGTGAGGGTTGAGTTTTAAGTGCCAGTAGTATTCCATGGAGCTCCCTTTCCATGTCAAGCTGTTTTAATACACCCCAAAACCCCCTTCAAGTTACGAAGGCCCCTATGTTAGCCACTCGCAGTTCCAATCCTATGCCTTTCGCCCTCAACCCTATAAACCCCTAAACCCTAAACCGCAGGTTTTCAGGGCCGCAGAGGCCCCAGGCCGATCCGTTGTTTGTGTTTTGTTTCATCGCCTTTGCAGGTACCTTTACATCCCTTACAGCTTTTTCATACCCTAAGGGTCCAAGTAGCTCCTATTTATGGTTTTTGGTACCTGAACAGGCCCTAAAGTCCTATAATAGGGAGTACTTGGACCCTCTGGGATAGGGTTTGGTGTTTAGGGGGCTGGGTAGTTTACCCATTCACACACAGCTTTTGCATAGGATTGCATCGGCAGGAGTGTTTATTGAAATGTTTGAGGATTCGAGACCCCTGAGAAAGTACTACTTGTGTTTTCTAGGGGCCTTTGCACCCAGGAGGTTAAGTAGCCTTTCGTAGACTAACATGGAACTTCGATTCGAGAGCAACCCCCATGTCAAAACAATGCAATCCCAACATACTCGCAAAGGTTAACCTTTAGTTCCCCAGGATACTCGACAAGTAGGACATTGGCCAATTCTTTCGCATACTCCACGCAGCCTTGGTCAGATAGGGTGTGGCCACAAGCACGAGTTTCCAAGCTCCTGTGCACAAGGGTCCTAAGTACCTATATGGCAGATACGTACCCAAACCAGACAAGTAACTACTACTTTCCAAACCCTAGTTTGTGCGTGCATATATATATATATGATGATGTGTATATGAATAAACAAATAACTGTATATATATATATATGTATTTATTTGTTTCTTTCTTATACAGGTACTTAGGACCCTTTGAGCTTCGTCTCAAAGCCCCAACTGAAGCCCATGGTCGAGGCTATCGGACAACCGGGAAGATGGCCATAGGCCGGAAATGGCTGGTATCGTTGGGTTTAGGGGTTTAGGGTTTAGGGGTTTAGGGTTTAGGGGTTTAGGGTTTAGGGTTTAGGGGTTTAGGGGTTTAGGGTTTAGGGGTTTGGGGTTTAGGGGTTTAGGGTTTAGGGGTTTAGGGTTTAGGGGTTTAGGGTTTAGGGGTTTAGGGTTTAGGGGTTTAGGGGTTTAGGGTTTAGGGGTTTAGGGTTTAGGGGTTTAGGGTTTAGGGGTTTAGGGTTTAGGGCATAGGGGCCGAAATAATTTCCTATACTATTTTGGGGGTTCCATACTCTAACTGTAGCATAATGGGCCCCAAGACCCGATTGTAATTATCTAGGACCTTATATTCAGGGTCTAAGGAAGTAGAGTTTTGGGATCAGGGGTTTAGGGTTTAGGATTTGGGGATAGTGTTACGGTTCAAAGGAACTAGGATATTGGGATTTCCGTGGGGCATTATGCAGGGAGCACGCTGTCTTCTAATCGTGCAACATGCCGCAAACTTGAGCATTAAGACCCTTAAGGATTCCTCTCTAGTGTAGTGGTCAGCTCTTCATTCCTGGAACCCTGAAACATAGCCGAAGTAGATGCTGGCAGGCCTTGATGTAGTGCGGCCTCGGGGTTCACAGGTTTAGTTTTTTGGTTCATCCTGACTTGAAGTCGGCGTTAGTAGCCTCGGGTCCCCTGGCCTGGGTTTAGGGACTTAGGGGTTTAGTGTTTACCCAAAGATCCCAATACCCCCTTGATTAAGGATTATACCTTAAATTATAGGGGGCTTAGTATTATGATTTAAGGTATATTCCTTAATTAAGGGGCATTGGGTTCTCTAGGTAGGGGGCGGTCAACCCTGTATAGATCTTAACGCAAGGGCTTGGAAAATTGGTAGTGGTATTGCTGAGCGTTCCTCTATAAATGCCGCAGCGCCCGTTAGCCCGTTTAGTTTCTTCTGAAGCCTTAAACCCTAAACCCCTAAGCCCCTAAACCCTAAACCCTAAGCCCCTAAATCCCAAGCATCCCCAACCCTATAAAGTTTCAAGCTCTAGTGTTAGTGTCGTTCATTATGTTTTGTTTATGGTTTAATATGTCTTACGTCGTCTCACACCGTCAACTCTTAGTCTTGAAGCCTTTTAGACACCGGCCTCAAAGCCTTCCACGATGTACGTAGCTGTGCCATATGACACCGATGTGGGTGTGTGCGTATATACATATGTACATACACACACATAGTTACATACATACATATATATATATATATAGATATGTAACCATACACACATACATCTAGACACACCGAAACCCCGAATGGTTCTCAACACCTCCGGTACAGAAGCCCTGTTGGCCTGGTTGGAGTCTGGAGAGGTCCTGGCCGCAGGGGTGCCTGTGTCATCGGCCTCTTCAAGAAAGGCGGTTGGAAGGCAGAGCTTCGGGTTCTAAAGGGCATTTGTTTATGGTTTAGGGTTTAGACGTTTTTTATAGGATTTGGGGTTTAGGGTTTAGGGGTGTGAGGGTTTAGGATTTCGTTAAACCTGAAAGTTGGAACATGGGTTTGGATGATGCGATGCTGGGACTCCTTATATACTTTATGGGCATGGGGAAAAGGACGTTCCAACTGTCTGACTTCTGCTTCATTGGGCCCTGACATACTACAGCGTGCGGTTTGTCCAGACACCAATTTGCGCATCCCTTCGATTTCTGGGTTGCACTTCTTGTCCAGCTGTTTCGATTGCGTTGATAAAGTGTCCGAAGATCCGATGAGGATTTGCGGCACAGTACTCATGCTTCGCGGCTCTTTTTCTCCCCTTGAAGCCTGACTCTTGAGGACCCAAGTCATCGTTCAGTTTGTGTTGCTCACACCCTGTTCGTCCGCCTGACACACACCTGTGAGACATGAACCCTCAAAACCCTTTTGGCGACATCAAAACCCTAAACCCTGAACCCCCAACCCATCGGTTTTTGAACGTCTGCGAGGTTGTTCCAGTCCGTGATTGCCAAGCCAACCATCCTGCGATAGTGGCTGCGGTACACTCCCTTCAGGAGGCATCAAGTAGGGGGCCTCAATAATCGGCATGAGTTTCTTAAGATTCTGTGAGCATACAGAACTATACTCTGTCGTTGCGAAGTTATGATGCGGAATCCGGAACCCTAAGGAACAACCGCAGAGACTGATCACCCCCCAAGACTTCAGGATAAATGGAAGCCGTAGTTGTGGAGTAACCAGGAGGGAATGATTAGAATGAAGTTTTGCTGTGTATTCCGTTAAAGTAGTCGGATTGTGCAGCGAATATCGTTGCAACTTAATCACTCAAAACCCCAAACTGAGGAGGGCTAAAGAGGCCGTGTATGGTATTCCTTAGCTTTAGTGCGCATTCCGGGCACGGGTCGAAGACTTTGCTCCGCATGGGAACGAACCTTCTGAGGTTCCTCATCTAGCCAATGAAGAAGCCCAAATCCGTACCAAGACTGTGATGGTTTTTCACAGAAGTATTTTTGTTTGGGGTTCCGAAGTATAAACCTACTATAAATGTATCCAGAAACTCGGTTCTAAATATTCAGGCCCCCGACATTAGAACCCTAAAGCTTTCGCCCTTAAGCAATGGAAGGGAAGCCCACATCTTCGACCCTCGCGAGTTTCGAGTGGTTTGGGGGCTTTGGGGGTCTTTGCCGGAGCCTTGCAGCTCTGTAACGGTTTAGGGTTTAGGGTTCAGGGTTTAGGGTTTAGGTTTTAGGTCTGTGGAGGTGCTAGATGAGCTCTACGGCGTGGTGAGCCTCGGCTTCTTCCACCCTTCGGGGCTTATAGGGCTGAGTTGGGCTACGGGGTCTCCTTAGCATGGACGGTTCAGGGTTTGTGGGTCACGATTGTATTTTCCGACACTCCCTGAGGGTTTATAGGGGTTGGGGTTTGGGGTTCGGGGCTTAGAGGGCTTAGGGGTTTAGGGCTTATAGAGGTTTAGGGCTTTAGGGGTTTAGAGTTTAGGGCTTAGTAGGCTTACCTTAAGCCGGAAGAACCTACCTTTTTAAGGACTTATATAAGGAAATCATAATAGGGAACCCTAAAAAGGTAGGTTATTCCGGCTTAAGGTAGGGCTGAGTCAAGGAAGCCTTTCAACCACGACGGCCCGGCCAAGTCGATCTCACGCGAGGGGCTGCTGAGGTGCAGTGGGGCTTCCTTTGGCTTTTCGAGACGATCAGGGTTGGGCGTTTAAGGGCGTGTATTTGGCTGCTAGGGTTTTTAGGGGTTGGGGTTTAGGGTTTGGGGTGTTAAGGGTGTTTTTAGGGTTTTTTAGGGGCCAGGGTTTAGGGAGTTTAGGGTTTAGGACTGTTATGGGGTTTAGGGGAGGGCGTCTTCAGAGCGGAGGGTTTGGAGCAGGCTGTACTGTAAAGATTTTAGGTGATACGTCTCTACTAAATCCTAAAGCCTAAACCCCAAACCTTAAACCCTAAACCACACTAGACACACCCTTAATCCTAAAACAGAAGCCTGTTTGTTCTCTGGAAGAGGCAGCAGGCTACACTATTCATAAGGCACCCTAAACTCGTATAGACCCTATATGCCATAAACGCAGAATCCTACAGGGGCTTCAGAGTGGATTATTACCCTGCTCTTGGGACATGTTTCGATGTGTCGACTTCGCGACTTGATCTCCAATCAAGCAAGCGTTTCGGACACCTTGGCTAGAGGGCACAAAAATTGGGCTCAATTTTTCTGGATTTTGGATGGAGGGTCTTGGGTTCGCGGCCCTTAAACCCTGAACAAGGTTTAGGCTTGTGGTGGGCAGTCTGGAACTTCGTGGTCGTTCCTTCGGCCACCGCTGTTTCAGACTGACCCAGCCAGAGTTAGTTAGTGATCATGCATGATGTTATAAACCTAAACCCTAAACCCTAAACAGCTGTATGAGCTCACTCACGTTCCTATCCCAATGGCTCCAGCTAGCCCAGAAGATTCAATCAGTAAATCCTGAACTCCAAGCCCCTACACCCTGAACCACGACCCAAGTATTGCATTCGGGCCCATGGGCCCTAAACAGCTGAGTGCTTCGCATAAAGCCGTTAGGGTTCAGGCCTTAGGGTTTAGAGTCCAAGGCTTAGGATTTAGGATTTATATGGTTTCATGCTGCTTGGGGATTTGTTTAGGGTTTAGGGTACCGTAGCCCTTAATGGTAAGATCTTTACTGCAAGGGCCGCTAGATGTCTGAAAACCTCATCTGACAATTGGCTTGGTATGATGAAAAAATGCTTTTCCCATTATGTATTAAAACTTTAGCCATCACTAGTTATCATGTCTAGACGTGTTCAATGCCGTGGTTTATTTGACTCTCTCTCTCTCTCTCTCTCTCTGTATATGTATATATATATATATATATATATGTATATATACATGTATATATATATATATAATATACCAGTTCTCGAGTCTGATCTTTGCCTGTACCTACTGACCTCTTTACATACCTCTGCGTTCTGGCCTCCGTAACTGCACAGATACGTGGAATTTTCACTGGAGCGGTCCAGTGGATTGGTGCAGCTGCTTGGTCATATGGGTAGTTGTCAAAATTATGGTCGTATGTTTGCTGGTTGTGGCCTCAGGCTCCCTAATACTCCCAAATGAATACCACGACTATTCCGTAGGGTTCCTTCATGTGGTCATACCGAGATATGCCTCAAAGTTTTACTCCGATATACTCTTCCCTACAGTTTGTTTCCATAAATGGTGTTTTACCGAAAATCTAAATCAAAATCCTACTGCAAGCCTTACGGCACAGTGGTTTTGATCTATCTAATGAGGTTGTACCGAAAATGAATCAACACCCTACTTCAAGCATTAAGGCACCAATAGAAATCTCTAAGTGTCTATGTACGCAAATAGGATATACTTTGGCTGGAAAGTAGTCCCTATGTAGGTACCTTGGGGCCAAAGTATCTACTATTTGGATACATGGACCCTTACTTGGAGGATCATGGGACCTAGTAAGTAGGGTTATAAGTAAGATAACCAAAGTTAGATCTACTTATAACCCTGATTAAGGTACTTATGACCCTACTTACTAAGTCCCATGATCCTCTAAATAGACCCTAAACCTTAAAGGAACCCTATAGATCCCTTTAAAGGAACCCTACTCACTAAGTCCCATGATCCTCTAAGTAGAGCCTAAACCCTAAACCCTATAGATCTCTTTAAGGAACCCTATAGATTCCTTTAAAGGAACGCTACTTACTAAGTCCCATGATCCTCTAAGAGGGCTGAGTCAAGGAAACCTTTCTTTCAACCACGACGGTCCTTTTCGGGCACCCTAAATATTGGGTGCCGTATTATATTAGGGTCCCCAAAAGGGACCATAACCCTAAACCTAAACCCTAAACCATAATTTTGACAACCACCCATTTGGATACATGGACCCGTAGGGAATGGGACCCGAGGCTAGTCCTCGTTTGGAACGGCCGCCGCGGCCAGGACTGCTTTGGGCGCTTTAGGGTTTAGGGTTTAGGGTTTAGGGGTTTAGAGTTTAGGGGTTTAGGGTTTAGGGGTTTAGGGTTTAGGGGTTTAGGATTTAGGGTTTAGGTTTTAGGGGTTAAGGGTTTAGAGTTTAATGGTTTGGGGGTTAGGGGTTTTAGGATGCCGGTCTAAGGGTTTTTGAGTACAGGAATAGTTTGGGGATACAATCATAGTAAGGAGCCCTCAAAATACTTGTTAATTATTGAGGTCACTATACGAGGGTTTTATGGTTTAGGTTGAGGATCCCGGTGCAATGGTTGAATATCGGAGCCTTCATAATTAGAATAGGGTTTGGGGGATACGATTATAATGAGGAACCACCCCTCACCAAAAAACAAACTGTTATTATGAAAGTCACTATATGTGGGTTTTATGGTTTAGATTTAGGGTTCTTTGGGCGACTGTAGGATTCGGGTGAACGGAGATCGGGGGTTCCGGGCTTCTGGCCTGCGAGGGTTTAGGTTTAGGGTGTAGGGTTCCTGTAAGGGCCAGAAGGGTTTTGGCAGTAAAGTCACGCCAGCAAAACCAACGTAGCAGCATTGTTCTCCAAATTCAGTCATGACAAGAAGTACAATGCGAACTATGCTGTCGGAACACCAGTTGCGGCAGGAATGATGAAGGGTCACGGCATCAAGGATTGAGGGTAACTTTGGAAGAACCCCAAATCCATCTCTCAAACACTCATGGCATCCCTACCGCAGAAAAGCTAGACCTTGCACACCCTTACCACAAAACGCGGGAAAACAAAGACGCCCAAAGGCCCAGTCCCAAGCCTGATCTATAAAGAACAGACCTTGGGCCCCGTGGCAGGACGTCATAGGAGGCCAAAAGGGGTTTTAGCCTATGGGGGTTTAGTAGGGATTAGGGTTCCCATAACAGGGTTCATATTAAGGAATCCCTACCCCAAGAATCTTAAACCCCCCTTTTTGGCCTCCCATCAGGACAGCCCTCAGCTCACGAAGCTGCTGCAGAAGCTTTGGCCCCAAGATGCCGGCAATGCCAGTTTCGGCGACTTGGCCGGCTCAATTCTACGAACTTTCTCATCCCCCAAAGCCCACAAGGGATCCTACTAGGTTCTCTGGCGCTTCTTGTGCTCCTTATGGGCTTCTTAGAGAAAAATCGCCTTAGTCTTCGGCTTCGAACCCTCCGGAACTGTCGGGAGCATCTTTTCTCGATCCTCAGCCCTAAGCATCCTAAAAGGGCTCTATACGGGTTCTAAACTGAAGGTTCTATGTAAAGGATTTTGATAAAGGGTTTATAGCAAACGGGTTCTATAAAAGGGTTATTGTAAGGGTTCTTGCATACGGGCCTCAATAGCACTAGACTTTTGGTTTTGCTGTAAGCGTTGCCCTCGCAAACTCCAACCACTCAGCTCCAAAGAAATGTACAGGCCTTAGTCATTGCCAATACCATTTTTGGGGGCTCCTTGTTAGAATTATGTAGTATAGTGGTCCCGCAAAACCTTATTCCAATTATTAAGGCCCCTATAGTAGTTAGCCCTCAAACCATCATGAGCAGCAGCAGCAGCATCATCATCATCATCATCATCATCACTTCGCCCAGACCTGCAACCCCGCGCAGTGACGCCAGTACGGGGTCTGAACAATCTACAATGGTATCCATATTGTCCATGCGTACTTGTGCTCCCGCACATACCCAAAACCCTAATATAGGGTTCATGAAAAATCGAAAATGTAACTAGAGTTACCCTACTTACAACCCTACTTACTAAGTGCCATGATCCTCTAAGTATGCTAATTACGGGATGAAGGCCTCGATATCAAACCCGGTAGAGTCTCACAGAGCCTTTTTTTTACTGCCCGCCCCAAAACACAAACAAACGCTCAAAGCCCGAAGTAGCCTCGAAAGCCCCACGCAAACTCCAAAAGCCCAAACTCTCAACGCCCAAAATCTCTCTCCAAACCGCAAAACCCTAAACCCTAAGTTTTTTCAACGCCAAACAATCGTCAGCCCAGGCACATCACAGGCACCCTAAACCCCACGCCCTAAACCCGAAACCCTAAACCCTAAAAGCCCTAAGCCCTAAACCCCAAACCCTGAACCCTAGACCCTAAACCCCAAACCCTAAACCCTAATCCCCAAACCCTAAACCCCAAACCCTAAACCCCTAAACCGCCCAGGCGCCTGGCATTCGATTTGGGTGCACTGGCGCGAGCCGGACCCAAGTTTGATGAGGGCCATCCACTCGAAGAAGCCGGAAGCCTGGGAGCAGGCAGGTTTGGGGTGTTTAGGGTTCAGGGTTTAGGGTTTCAGGGTTTAGGTTTCAGGGTTTTGGGGTTTAGGGTTTTGAATTTTGGTGCTTTATGGCTTTATTTATAGGGTTTTAGGGGCAGGTTTGGGGTTTTAGGGGGGCTTTTTAGGGTGTATAGGGTTTAGGGTCTAGGGTCTAGGAATGGATTTTGGGGCTTGGGGTTTAGGGTGAGGCAGCTTTGGCATGGGTGTTTTGAGTTTATATAGTTTTGTTAAATATGTGTTCATGGGCCGAAGGGTTTAAGTTAGGGGGTTTTGGGGTTTAAGGTTTTGGGTGGTTTTGGGCCTGGGGTGTAGGGTTAGGCAGGTTTGAGTTTTTGTTGTTGTTTTTCAGGTGTCATGGGTTTTGGAGGGTTTAAGGGGTTTGGGGTTTAGGGTTTCTGGTGGTTTAGGGCTTAGGGTTTAGGGTTTAGGATGGGGCAGGTTTGGGGTTCGAGTTTTTTTTTGGTTTTAAACTCAGGTTTCGGGTTAGGGTTTTTGTTAAGGTGTTTTGCGGTCCATGGGTTCAGGTGGGTTAAGGGGGTTTTAGTTTCGGATTTGGAGTTCGGGGAGGCCGGTTCAGGCTTCAGTGGCCTGAGTGCTTGGAAGAGGGTTTTGCGAAATTACCCGAAACCCTAATTAAACCCCGAACCCTACAAAAACCCTGAACCCTAATGGAAGCCACCGCCTTCATTTAGAATCCTGCTACTTATGGACCCAAAAAGCACATAAGCATAAGCACTTTATGGGGATATCCCTACCTTCTTGGGCTTCAGTATAAAGGGATTTATATGGGATATCCCTATCCTTCTTTTTGCTTATGTGCCTTTTTGGGGCCCTACCTACGGGCCAGGCCACGCACCAAGTACTGGGTCTCCGAATGTTGCTTGAACTCCTGCATGAATCATATGAATGAAAGTAGTAAGGTCTGCACCAACGTATGCACACAGGAATCTCAGAACTCCCAGACCCGGCGGACGAAAGTATATGAACCGTGGTACTTGTGATGTCGGAGGTCGCCGTGCTGTTGTCATTCTTTCGCTGTTGTTTCATTGCGCTTGCTCAGCTCCATCAGAGTATCCAAGGCCAAGTATCCCGGTGATGGTTTATGTAAGACCTGGCATGTTTGCAGCTCTCACACTTTCTGACATGCCCAAGCATCGAACTGAATAGGCCTACATACATCTATAGCAAAACCCCGAACGCCGAACTTGCCAAAGCGGCGCCGTGAGGAATTACTACGAGAATGGCTGTCGGTGCCTTCGCGCGAGAGACTTTAAAGCCTGAACCCTAAACCCTCAACCCTAAACCCCCAAACCGGCTCAAGACAACGGCTTGGCCCAGGCCAAGAGCTTTTAACAGCCTACCCAGACCCTGAACCCCCGAGCCCTCAAACCCACCCCATCAAGGCGCCACGGAGAGCCCTTGTAAAAACCCTGCACGAACCGCCACCCAGACTCTGCTCCCTCAACTCCATCCTAAGCCCTGAACACAGTAAACTCTGACCTTTACTGACTCTGCCAACGATCGTCCGGAAGGTGCGGCCGAGTGACGCCGCAAGGAGTGCCACGTCCGGCGAGGCATACCTTTTTTCCTATAATTAAGAGTCTTTGTGGTTAAGATCCCGAAAAGGGTCCAAAGTACCTATGTATGGTAGAATGTGTGTTTTCCATATTAGGAATTACGACTATGATTTGGGGAAGCAGCCCCCATAACAGTACCTCGGACCCCTTGGGGGAGTCATCAGGGCTTAGGGTTTTAGGCCTCAAGAGTTTCCTTTGCTTGTTTCTTTTGGGGGCATCCCTGGACCCCGAAGGTATATGCAGAATCGTAGGATTTTATAGGGGTTGGGCCACCATTCTTGTACCCCGCTTTTTTTGGTGAGGGGGGGGGGGGGGTTAGGTATGGGTTTAGAGTAATAATTGTGGTAACGCAAAACCTTTGCAAGGGAGCGGGGATCGTTAGCCAGGGCTCTGCAACTGTTCAAAAAGAAACCTGTAGAGTCGAGGTGTTGTAAGGCGAGCTCTGGATATTCGGGGTCAGAGTCAGAGTACTTACCCATATTCTTCCTCAGGGTGCCTTATTCTGACTATACGATGTACCGCAAAACCGAGGCGGGGTTCATCCAGCTCTCCAATTCTAGACTTGCAGCGCTTTCGGTCTCTTGCAGGCCATTCCCCATTCCGCCAGCTCCTGAAACAGTAGGTTAGTAGAAGATGTAGCCCGGAAGTATTTAGTTGGGTAACTGGAGCCCTGGGGATGTACAGGCTGGCATCATCTTCATAGTTTCTAAGCTAGTTCCCTTGCATTATTGGGCGGGGGTGCGGGGAGTGGGCGGGGGGGGAGGGGGAGGGCTTGGTAAGGTTTCAAGGTTTGGTATTTCGTACGTAGTTGTAACACACTCTACTTAAGCCCTAAATCAACCCCCGAACCCCCACAGACCCCAAACCCTCCGGTCCCTCTAGCCTTACATCCCGGCTGAAAGTCCTTGATGTTCTTATGTTTCCAGCCCTTAGAGTAAGACCAGGCCCGGAACAGAAACTAAGGTATCCCAGCGATCCTAGCATGATCTGAAGTAGGATATTGGTGTATGTCAACACGTTTTCTGAGTCTGGAAGGGTGTCCTTACGAACTTTGACGTATCTATTTGGCTGTCCTACTGGGCATACTAGCAATACCGCTAGCCTGCTGTACGCTTCTGTAGGTTCAGTGGTTCCATGCTTGGGAGCACGAAGATACTGACGATAGAAACCTACAAATCCATCCGTTTCTGATCCTAATTCATAAACCCTCAACCCTAATCTCTTCTTGGGTGCCTTCAGTCGCTTGGGGGAGCCTTTATAGGAACCCCTTAACGAGGAGCCCTTTCAAGGAACCCTAAAGGGGTTTCGGGAAGGTCGTGGAGTGTTTGGATGGCCTTTCCTTTGCCTTTGGCCCGGCGAGCCTCGCGGCTGAAGCTTTAGGGGTCTAGGGTTTAGGGTTTGGGTGGTTGTGATGTCTATCAGGACACCCCCCAAGTACCCTTTGGAAATCAAGCCCTTATGGTGCTTATTAGATGGTGTGTTGGGGCTATTGCAGTTAAAAGGGTTCGGGTTTCAGGACTTTCCTAACTCTTGGGGTTTTCGCGGGGCTGTCTTGGTGGTAGGGCAGATGACCTGTAACGTTTTTGCGCAACTACACTCCCAAAGGTTAACCGTCAGTTCATACTGGAAAGGGAGTCGAGGTAATTAATAAGTAGAGTTATACGTACACCAAAAGCTATGCTCATTGGGAATAGGGCAGTTGTAACTCTATCAAACAGTGGGGTTGTTGCTTCGTGCTCGTTTTGGCGGCGTAGGGGTTTAGGGTCCAGGGTTAGGTATATTCACTCAGGAGTTTTAGATAATAGAAAGAAGGGGCAGGTGTCATTGTAGCACCCCAGGCTTTCGAGCCCTAACTATCATGGTTCCATCCCGGATTCTTATGTTTCGGCATGGACGGATCGCAGAATGCATCTTGTGTTCAAAAAAAACTCTCTTTTTCTGGGGTCTGTAAGCCAGAGGCCCCTAACTCAAACGTCACAAACCCGAACGCCTAAATGCCGAACGGTGACCCTTTCAACACCTGCAGCTTCTTATAAAGCCCCAAATAGGACCACATGCTAAACCCTAAACCCTAAACCCCCCATGCTGCCTTGCAGTACAGAGGCTTTCGGCAACCGAATCTCGCCGTCTTCGAGCAGATCCTGCGGGAGAGCTCTTGGGTTGTTTAGGGTTTAGGGTTTAGGGTGGGCTTTGAGGGTTCCTCTCTGAGAGCTCCTGCTTCAGTCAATTTGGGAGTTGTGGCAAGCCCAAAACCCCTTTATAACCCAAAGGGTCTCCCCCCGAAGTATCTAGATAGTAGAATGTAGGGTTTCTATATTAGGAGTTAGTAGAATGTAGGGTTTCTAAAAAAAGGAGTTAGTAGAATGTAGGGTTTCTATATTAGGAGTTATGATTTGGGGAAGTATCTCCCATAGCAGTACCTAAGACCCTTTGGGAGAGACTTCCAGAAAGACACACCATGCCTGGGCTCTGTATTTGGTAGGAATAGAGTCTTTCAGCTTTCGTCCTTGAGGCCCTGGGTTCTACAAGATTTTTGTGCGGCTTAGGCCACCCTGAACGTGACATCCACAGATTTCACTACGTACTGTACGTCGGCTGAGGAATATCCTTTAGACGTGTGGGATTTAGGTTGCAGGGGACACATGACAAGGAAGCTTTTTGCCAAGTCGTAATTATTGAAGTTGCCGGGCATCATGTAACCCTGAACCCAAAACCGTCCCTAAGCTTGAAACGACATCTCTTTCGGCTCCAGAAGCGTCTTTTCACTGCGACAGCCCGGGAATGCCAGCAACCCCCCCCTGCATCCGATGCACTTCCCAGCGTGGCAACTTAACGGACGGCCGAACGTCCGAAGAATTTTACTGCATCACATTTTCCAAGAGTTGGTGTTGTCCCAAGCTTAAACCATATTTAGACCTCCACCACAAGCGGATCAATCACCGCACGGGTCGTCCCATGGACGATGACGACGAGATTCTCGAGGATATCAGCTATCTCACTGGTCGCGGATTGGATGCTGGGCTTTGTTAACAGCTAGCAAAAGTCCCAGACCTTGAACGTGAAACATTTCTAACCGGAATCAAAGCATCGTTCAACAAACAGGCAGTGATGATTTAATTAAGCTCCAAGCTGGTACACCTCATTTTCTGCAAGTTTATGTGCACTGCTAGCTGTTTCTAGCTTAGCAGGATCCACCTGATGAGGCGGCTGGGATATTGTCGGACTTACAACAGGTTCAGTTTGAAGATTGAGTCCCGTTTCGTCAAGTACAGGATTGCTCCTTAGCCTTTAGCCCTGAAGAGGGACATGCCGAGTGTTTCGAATTACTAACTTATTAGCTAACCTTTTGGGGCCTATGTAATCCTACCATAATTCAAGAGGTTAATCCTTTTCGGGCTAGGGTACTCAGCCCTTAAGCTAGAGGGCTTTGGGGTAGAACGGACCAGGACAGAGTTTATGGGTCGAAATCTGGCATCAGGAACAGGGACTGTAAAAGTATTATTAGTAGAGATATAGAATTTTAGTGATAATATAGGTACTAACTGAATATTACCTCCGCCTTGTGGTAATTAGGGAACTGGCTTGTACAGGCAGCAGAAGCACACACAAAACCCGATCACCTCAAACTCTGTGATTTGCACACCTTAAGCCCTCAAACTTCCATACCGCGTCCTTGAAAAGCATTTAGCTTAGGAGTACTTAGATTCCTTTTTATTTTTTGTTGTTATAATCCCTAAGAAAAAGCTAAAATTATAATTTTTGCTCGGGTTCTAAGTTCAGTATAGTTAGTAACATCATCAACCTTTTGGGACTCTGCCCCGGCGCAGAAAGAACACGCAAACAGAAACGAGCTCGGCGCCAGCCCAGGATGGTTATCGTCCACTCCAGCGCGCCATGCCCAAGAGACATTTTTGGGTTTGCAAGGCTGCAAGAGGACAGGAGAATAGTGATCCAGACATCCCTAACATCTAAAACCGAGTACTCTTCTGGAATCATTGTTCTTGTTTGTTCAAGGTATATTGAACTGTGTAGTTTACATTACACCTTTCGAATTTAAAGTTCCGGGCGTCCGGGCCGGGTGTCAGTTTCAGTTTTCGCCAAAGTAAGAGGGTTCAGGGTTTACGGCAATGTAAAAGCCTAGACTCCTAGACAGACTTGGTAGCTGAGCAGGTGCCCTCTAACCTTTTGGGGTTTTTTATAGTCCTACCATAGTTGAAAGGGTTAGCTGCTTTTGGCTAGGGTGCTCAGCCCTTAAGCCTAAACCTCGAATCCTAAGCACCAGGCTCAGACGATTGGGCAGAGATAAACAAGGAGCTAATAAAAACAACACCCAAATCCGAAACCCTGAACCCCTAAACACCAAATCCGAAACCCTAAACCCCTAAACCCCAAATCCGAAACCAGAGCCTCCGGGCAGGACCAGGAGCCCAGTAATACAAGGATAGGCTTTTGTCTCCTTAGGAGTTTTTTTAAATATTATTTTGGTCCACATAAAACCCAAGAGAATATTACAAAGTTTGTTTGGTATGGTTCTACGGGAGGGGGATAGTATATACATATTCGAATGTAACATATAAAACATGAGGCAAGAGCATGGTATCCTATGAGATATAGTACAGCATAGTGTAGCCAGAAGACCCCCAACTTGAGCGACTGCATCGAAAGTCTGGCCCAGGTGCCGTGCAGGAAGCAGAGGCCAGAAATGACTTTAGAATTCAGGTTCGCTTAGATTGGGCGTTTTAGTTTAGGTTTAGGGCTTAAGGGTCTTATAGTAACCTCACTGACTTGACCAGCGGTGGCTGTGGCTGTCGTGAGCTTTCAGACTTGCCGTTTCAAGGTCCCTCTACGAATTCGAGCTTAGGGTGTAGGGCTTGAGTACAATCTGCCGACACTTGTCCGACTAGTCCCTGAAATCAGTGCTTTTATTAATTCGCGCTTATGTCGTGCACTTTATGTGTGTCGTTTCTAACATTTCTAACATCCACTTCGCATAGTGGCAATGCCACTGCCCTTCTTTTCAATCAAGGAGGAATTCTACCTGTTATCCCGAGATTCTTCAACGCACGTGATAAAGCTGTTGCAGGGGCCTTATTAAATCTTCATGAAGCGCTCACGCTCAATACAAATGCGACAAAGCAAGAGTGGAACCATCATAAACCCATTTGGCTTTGCGAAAGGTAGCCGTCGAACCCTGGAACATTAATATATTCAAGCCGCTGGAATTTCTAAACCTGAAATCCTAAACCCAACACTTTAAACCCCACTCGAAGAGCCTTAACTGCAGGGCGCTCCGTGGATCGCGCGGATCCATCTGACCCTGGTTTGCCTTAGCCTTTCCCCAGGGCAACTTCAGCAGTAGGTTACTAAAAGCAAATTTCGTAATGCAATAGCCAATTATTCTATTTAGAGCCCCATAGTATAGGGTTTCGGAGGGCCTGTTTGGGCGGAGGGTGATGGGCTGGATTGGGTTTGTAAGGTTTGTACAAGGTTTCAAGGACTCCATAAAGTTTTGCTTCTATGGCTTATCTACGCATTCATCCAATCGGTGTGTAGGTTTCATGTGTTGGGGCCTCTTGGTTTTCAGTAGTTGGCGTGGACAAAATATCTAAGTTTTGGAGGTGCTGTGTGTCTACAGCGCGTTCAGCATAGTTCAGGAGTACTTCCAAAAGGTTTCGAAGTTTGGCACTTTTAGGTAGGCAGCAGACCTAATCTATGTCCTGTATAAATCAAGGACAACCATGGGCCGGCAACTTCTCGGTGTGTCGGGTCCGGGACGCTGGAGCTCACTCCATCATGTGCTACAGTGCTACAGCCCGGTACAGTCATGCCTGGAGAAGCTCACAGATTTGGATCCAAGGGTAAAGGAGGGACCCTTAATAAGGACCCTTAGGTATATTCCCTTAATATAGCCATTATATAGCCCATTATAGGGTAGGGGTCCCCAGTAAGGGTCCCTCCTTTTCACCTTTGATTGGATAGTCTCGTGAAACTCCATGCTTCCGCCCTTGTTCGCCATGAGCTGTAACAGTCTTTCGAAGAAAGTTGATTACCTGTCGGCCTGTCGCTCTTCACACTTCCCAGGAATAGCGCCGTGATGACCGGCAACATCACTACCCTGAGATATTTGGTGGACGAGGCCTTCGCTTTGCGTTGTATAAACTCTTGGGAGCGATTTGTAAGGTCGAGTAAATCTCTGGTCTCCTTTGGAATTATTTTTGTTCATATAAAACCCAAGAGAATCTTAACAATATGTTTTTTGTTATGGTTCTAAGGGGGGTATAGATAAGGTCGAGTAAATGAGTCAGCAAGGCGTGGAATTTCGCAGCAAAGCACTCTCATACTCACAGCTAGCTGAGTGGGTAGTTCTCTAAATTAGGCCCCTTTCAGGATCCTTTTGACACATTTGAAAAGGATCCATGCTATTTTGGGGACCTGAAGAAGGGACCCGTATGTAGAGAGCTACCCATGTAAAGCTGCTGTCATGGGACGCGAACCCTGGGTATCCGAGTACAAGGTATGGACGGTTCTCAGTCAGGTGTCGACACATCTGCATAGAAACTCTAAGACGATGCATGCTGTACGTTTAAGGAGTTCAGGTTCCAGGGGTACTATGAGAATAGTCGTGGAGATTTGTGGAGTTAGTAGTCTGTAGTAAAATTGTATGATGTTATAAGGATAAGCATAAGCTTGAATTTGTCCGTTACAGGGTTTCCCAGCAAACTACGCAAGTATGTATACTCCAATCGAAGACTAGCAACTTTCAGGAGCTAGACACGTTGAGTCGTTGATGCCAGGCGTCCTGGCAGTTTCCGAGCCCTGTGGGCAGGTCGGCGTGAAGACACTGAACACCGAGAGAAAAGGTCACTCGTCTTCATGCGACTAGGATGCCCAGTAGTACCCTGATTCACTTTTCGTAGTCCTAGGTTCCTTTAAAGTTACCGGGCATCTTAGCAGAATATTCTCAAGACAGATTGCGCCCTGAATGCTCCCTCCAGCGGATACAGGGGGCTTGCCCTAGGCGCCAAACCGGAAAACTCCGAACTTCCCTAGTCCACGACTGACCCACACATCCTAACTCCATGTTTTTAAATCGGCCGTGGTGTGGGGAATTCTGGCTTGCAGACCTATCTCTAGCCAAATCCGGTAC